ATGTCTCATGCAGAGTTGACATGTGGTACTATTTTTAAGTTTGACGGACTATTTTTCTTTTAATGTTTCCTTTCATCTGTTACAAAACTTTTTTTCTATATATTTCATTGACATAGAAATGGTTACACAGATGGTATACGCTACAGACCAAAGAAAAAAGGGTTTGAATTGGTTAAGGCCATTGTCATTTGTACAGATAATCAAACATTCATGAGTTTTGTTCACATATTCTATGCGGAAAAAAAAGGAGGAATGGAAGTTTGAGGGGGTGCTATACGCCTGACAGGCAATAAAAACCTCTTATTTACTGTCCAAATTCTGGAATTTGCCAGTGCTCGACCTTGCAACATCAAAGAGTGGGGAGGGCAACCAGCATCTAAAGGAAGATTTACTATAGCAAAATACTATAGTCAGAAAAAGTGGGGGGCAGACCCTTCCCCCCCCCCCCCCCCCCCCCCGCGTTCTACGGGCCTGGCTATACGGATCCAATCTAGTAGCTTTTCAGATTATCAGCATAAAGTAATTTAATGGCAAAAATTTTGCGTGAATAGACCATTTGATCATCACTGTTAACATATCGTTTTTCTCCAAGTCTCTCTTCATTATCCTTCTTTTTAATGCTCTTTAAGGTATAGGCAAGGGTGACGATCCGCTCCTCTTTTCACCCAAAGGTGAAACTTGGGAGAAAGAGGAGCGGATCGTCACACTTCGATAGCAAAGGTGCGAACAGTAAATCTTAAAACATCAATTCAAATATATATATATATATATATATATATATATATATATATATATATATATATATATATATATATATATATATTTAAGAAATAAACAACAATGTTAAAAAGTTCTCTGGGAAATGAACTTGGTTGGTCACGTGATCAAATCCTGTGAAGCCCGAAGGGCTTCTCAGAAGATTTGATCACGTACCAACCAAGTTCATTTCCCAGTGAACTTTTTAACATTGTTGTTTATTACTTTTATTTACATTTGAGACGAAAATTCTGAAAAGAACTGCATTTATTACACGAACGGCCCGCCGTATTGCTATGTTGTGACGCGCAATGACCTAGAAGCTGTTTGGTCGTGAGAGTTCGCCTCGCTCCAAGATTTGAATACTTACATTGATGTTCAGCAGTCCAGTTCAGGAAATATCTGTTCATAATGAAAAAAACCATGATCGCTACTGAGAATAATCTTACTTTTATTGTATGAGTTCTAAATATATGAAGTCAAAAGCGGTGGTATCGTCTTCAGTTTACATACCTTCAGAGGAATTCGGGTTAAAAAGGTAAGCGTGATTTTTTACTAATTAAACACATTCTTCACACCGAAGAAAGAACTAATGATCATTTGTTGAACGAAAAAAACATATATGTTTCAATAATTTTATCTTTTTCATCGCTTTAACGGCTTAGAACTAGAAGTTCCGAAACCAGTGTCACCGTGACAGAAATATGTAGACAAGATATTATCTCGCTGTGTGATTCGGTCACGCCATGACCTCTGACCCCCTAATAAGTTCATACAGAATTGAACATATTTTCTTTTCAATAGGTTCATCTAAGAAAAATATTTGCAAATGTAAATAAATATATATATATATATATATATATATATATATATATATATATATACAGAGAGATAGGGAGTAAAAATTGCGTACGTAATGATAATTCATGTTTTTGGACACATCGAAATGCACCTTGGAATTTACATGTATTATTTTCACTTCCCAGGACTTTCACAGAAATGTGACTTCTATATGGTGTTGTATATGTATATATAGTGTATGTTTTGCATTTACTTCCCCATAATAAAACTGGTTTTGACCTCATAACCTTGAATTTGAAGTTTGACCTTCTTTTGGAAATTTTTAATCTAGGCAATAACTTCTCAACGGTTGGTGCTAGGGCTTCGTGTTTCCTAGTGACGACACCTTTCTTTGGTAAAACTATTTTTCACCTCATAACCTTGACCTTGGAGTTTGACCTTCTTTAGAAAAACTTTAACCTAGGCAATAATTCTGAATGGTTGATGCTATATAATGATTTCAAACTTCACTCGTGTATTTCTTGGGACAAGTCCTTTCTTTGGGTACCATTATTTTTATTTCATGACCTTGGACTTGGGTATATGACGTACTTTCGAAAAAAATGAGAAAAAAAAACTCATCTTGGTCATGAGCTGTGATAAGGGGGCACAAATACAATTTGATTTTGGGAATTTTTTTTCACTTTGAACATACAAGATTCTTTTTGAAATATCCATGGTATATCTAAAGAATTGGTCAGAATCTTCCGTTTTTGGTACATGCAATTTTCATCATACGATGCCATTTTTTGTTTTTTGTTTGGTTTTTTTTTTTGGTCGCTCAACAGGTACTAGTTTGACATGATCAATGGAGAAGGATCTGTATTACAGGTTTCAATTCTCTCTAACATGACACTTGGTAACGTGTATTACGTGAACACAGTTTTTTACCTTAAGTTATAAATTTTCTGTGTGTTCTATACAGATAAAACAAAACTTTCTAAAATCAAGTAATTACATGCTTATTAGAGGAAACGAAAAAGGTAACATCTTCTAAGAATCAGCCAAATTACAAATAACCTTGCGCTATCACTTCTCAGAAGAATGCCCATATGAGACAGTCACTATAGATGTAAATTTATAGTTTTAGGCAGAAAAATTGCAAAAAAAAAAAAAAAAAAAAAAAAAAAAAAAAAATCTGTGAAAGCAGTAACTGACTCCGTGCCAAAATCCCTCGATCAGTATTTTTTAAAACTATCTTCCTGTAAGTAAATTTAGAACCAGATCTCTATGAAATAATATATTGTACCACTGAAAAATAAATTTTTCAAATTATTTGCAAACCAACCATTAGATTAATCTAGTATTGAGAAAAGAGGTTTAAAGTACAAAGACATTTAAATCTACTACAAGCTAGTTCTTTCTTAGCGATTAACCTTATATACCTCACGTTTCACCATTAATCACTCGACGAGTTCAGTCTATAAATATGCAAAGTCGAAGATATTTAGACCTGTCACCTTTCTTTACTCTAGAAAATGTGCCAAAAAGGGATTAAAATGCCTAATAATCTTAATTGATATTGATCCATTTTTATTCAGGCAAGTGGAGATCTGTTAATACATTAACAACAGATTAATAATAATCTCTTATAGGGTTAACCAAGAAATGTCAGTGGGAACAATGTTTGGAAGCAGTATCTATTGAAAAAGAGAATTATTTAAAGAAAATACCATGATTATTATATAAAACGTATTTCTCATCTTTCCCAAGCTAAGGGTTTGTGATCCGCAAAGTCTCACAAGGAGCAGTGCGGACCAGTTTCTTAGGGGAGTTGTCGTCTATGGATGCTAAAAACATTTGATTTTTCCGAATCGTCTAGATAACAACACACATACAAAACAAACACGGCAAACAACGTGCTTTTATTGAAAAACAACACAAATCACGGGAAAGATTTAACATCACCAATGATAAGAAAGTAACTTAGACATGTAAAAATTAACAATATTAATATAAAGCTATCAAAGAAAAAAACAACTTTTGTCAACAACTTTAACCTTATTAGTATTACGGTTTAATAGAGCTTATGAAGAACGTAGTGAATGTCTATGTAATGTCGGGATAAAGATGTGTTTCTCTTTGGTGATTCTGGATACTAGACTTCTTGTTTAATATCTACCTCAAAGCGTCAGGAAGACCGAGATGACCAGTGATGTCATAATCAGTATATAAGAAGCCAGATTAAATCCTGAAAAAAAAAAAACGAAAATGACATTTTGATAATTAAAATAATATCAAATTTTAAGTTCAAAAGTTAAATTTTGTCATGCGAATGACAAACTGACAGAAATATATCATTTGATACAGTATAACGTGACTGTATAGGATTATATCATGTAACTCTGCAATAGAAGTGATCTAGGGATGGTCTTATGGAAGCTGACTTATGGTTCATGTCAAAAACTAAATTTTTTTTCCTCATAAAATTATCCTTTTGAGCAGTAAGTTGTTCTAAAGAAAAGCATTGCTTAACTGAATATTTGAGATAAATGGAAGCTGATGGTTTTCTTTTCTACTGTTTTTAAATAACACTGTCAAACACTGTCAAACTTGATCGTCACTGATTTTAAAATCAGCGTAATTAAACACTCCCTTTTATAATTCTCATCAAACATTGTCCTAATTATCATCATCATCATTGTAATCAATCTCATCGACATTCTCATCATACTCAATAATTACCACCTCCCACTTACCCGCTCCTCCCATACAAGCCTCCACGTTAGTACACCCGGCGTAGCCGGTGGTTTCATCGCTGCCATCATCACAATCGTTTGAACAATCACACACGAACGCTTTCTGGATGCACGTCATCGATCCCGATTGACAAGTAAAAAAGCCAGTGGGACACAGCTACAAACAGTATTTACAGTGATTGTAATTTTTTACTAATTCAATTATAAAAATATCAATATAACAAGAAAAAAAATAAAATACGTCCAAAAGAGTCAAATCCTTTGACTTCTTTTTTTTTAAAAATTTAACATTAATTGATATTTGTTTAGGTGATTTTAGCATTAGGCCATAGAACAAGTAGGTGAGAATTTTTATCGCGACTAAAGAGTAACTTTCCTTGAGTGGGCTCTTTTTTCGTGGAAGTTTGATATAGCCCAATTCTCGCGAGTTTTGGGGTTACAATATTCTCGAATTCACAAACATTATAACCTCATACAATACTCACAACTCATCTTTAACTTTTGTCAAATCGAGTGTACGTGATATGTACGTGATAAATCTCTTGCTTTTTTTACTCACACTTCCTTCTTCCAACAAAATCAACTATTCCAGTCATTTCCAGGATGTTGCGCTCAGATTGTATCTCCAATACTAAAGAGTTCCTATACAAAAGCTATTGCTAATATTTACTCACTTGTTGATAGGTGCCCGCAGGAACAGTAGGGCAGTCGTCTGGGTTACAGTCTCCAAAGTCTCCGGAGTCTCCGCTACACTCTTTTCCGCCATTGGCAGGCTTCGGGTTATCACATGTCCTAGATCTTGACCTTCTACCTCCGCCACAACTCTTGCTACAACTTCCCCATTGTGACCAGTTGGTCCAGGCACCGTCAACTATTACATTCATAGTTATAAACTATTCAGATGAATGGTCAAATAGACAAAACATCCGAGAAGGTCAATGATTAAAATGTAACACAGAATAATATAGTTTTCAAAAGATGCCAGTTTTGGAAGAGTTATTTCCGGTTAACTGCCATATTGGAGGTCAACATCCTACATTATTTTCATTCAAAGTTGTCAATTTTAATGTGTTTTTTTTAAAGCATTTGGTAAAAAGCATCCAATTTACATCAATTTCTATATCAAATTTGAAAGTTTATCAGTTTTACTTTTGATATCCAAGCAATGACTTACTTATGCAGACTTGAGTGTTACAGTCCTGGGAGCTTGTGCTTAGTCCTGGACACGAGGCGCCGCCATGTTGAGGGGTCGGGTTTGTGCACGTCCTGTCACGACTCTGAGTTCCTCCTCCACAAGTAACAGAACAAGTCTTCCATGATCCCCAATTCGCCCAAGCTCCATCAACTAGTAATGATAAAATTCTTGTTAAATTTACACAATTCTTTGCCTTATATAATCATTAATATTTCCATTTCTCATAAAAAATGAAGAAAAACCAAATAATTATCTTGAAAGTTGTACATGTCGTAATTCTTGTAGATTTTGTCTCATCTCAAATTGACAAGACTAAAAAATCACTCTACATTTTAACTGATATTAAGAGGCAGTCCACCGAAAAACCAGGCAGTATTGTATTAATAGGCGGCACATCGAATGTGAGGAATATTTGATATTTTATTAAAAACAATATCAATGTAGCCCAAAAGGAATAATGTAATTGAAGATTTGTTTGATAATTGTTTATTTAGTAAAATATCCTTGTGTTTTGTGTTTTTGAATGCCCCTATATAAACCATTGAATGTAGGTCAGAAACAAAGAACTGTAATTTCTAATACATTTTTAACAGGACTATAATTCACACTTGACTAAATCTAGAAATATTTCAACTTTTTGTTTAAAAAATAAAATCGGTGGGAAAAACACTTTTGATAGTAGTTTTCTGGCAAAATATAAGGACGTTTTTATAAAATTTTGCGATGCAAGAGTTATCTCCCGTGGCATCGGTAAATCTGCTCAACACCTTTTTATCAGAATCCTAGTGAAATATTTAGAATCGATACACTAAAGAAAATAATTAAACAAAAAACTAAATAATTCATTTTCAAAATATAATTCATTTTCGCCTCCAGACGTAATATTTAGATTAAAATTGGCTCTGTTATCAGGTTAAATCCACGTTTCCATTGATGTATCAGTGACGTCATATACCTGACTAATATTGCGTCACAATGAAATAGTTACAAGTTTCTAGAGAAGTTTGTAAATTCTTTGCGTAAAAGTGTAAAGAAAAAGCTTTTTAAAAAAATGATTTCTCTTTTTCTGTTTAATTACTCTTCAGAGTGCATTATTCTAAATGTTAAATAATATTTTAATATCAAAATGTATTTTATACACGGGCGGCGTCTCAGCTAGATGACGTTTTGATAAGTAATTTTATACATGTCTGAGAACTATTTTTTAAAACTGATTTACTAGGATATGCGTAAAAATAATTAATGAAGTGTTTATCATGAACATTTCTTATAAAATTGGGAATCAATGATGAATGTTTTAGATTTACGCAACACTTAATTCAACGAAGTTGAGATGTTTACTTCATGATATTTGTAAAAACTTAAATATATTTATCTATGCAGCCAAATCAAAATAAACAATCCGAAGTACGATTAAAAATGAGAAGAAAAAAAAACCTGAAAAATAAGTTATAAAAATATATTTATTGAGTTAAACTACTGTTGAACTCCCCACTATAATTTGGCACTAAAACGGAAGATGGTTTAGTGAAACATTTCGGTTTTTTTTTCTTATTTTACTTATTTATTTTTTTAATTTGGCGATTGAAACAATCACACACTCACATTTAATATGGAGTTTAAACATGTGACTATGTTGGCCAATTCTTAAATGTTTTCACGTTCATGAAACCAATTTTTAAAAATAATGATGTCATGACCCCCCCCCCTCCCCCTGCTTTTTGCTTGCGATTTATCGGCTCTTGAATAATGATACTATATATGAAAGAACTTATTTTTTTATTTATATAAAATCAAATTTTGTAAAAGAGGAAAAGGCTTTACAGATGACAGGTAAGAAAAAACTTGGATAAAGTCGAGACTGTACACATAAAAATATTTCCTGTATTTAGGCAAATTTAATTTCGCCACTGATAGAATTTACTCTTTAATTCCTGAGGAAATAAAAAAGAAATTTTACTTGGAAATAAGATAAATAATAAGGCTAGAAAGCTGTCTGCTCTCATTTGTTGCATAATGCATATACAAATACTTTTTTTTTAAAATACCGAGTATCTATTAAGAATTCAATCAGATGTTTTACATGTAATCTTCATGTACGTAAAAGACATTAGTAATTTAAATAATATATAAATTTGAATCTATGGTTACACTCATTTAAAAACAGTTAACTGACTGAAAAGAAATAAAATACAAGCATATTTTTCTGATAAATTAAAATGAAAAGCCAAATTTAGGAAATGTTTCTAAATTTACAGTAAAAACCGATCCCAATCCGATCGAAAATAATGCAAAATTAACAAATTTATCAAACTAAAGGCACCTGCCACTTATATAACATGTTAAAAAAATAAATCAAGTAAGTTTTTACTCATATTACAACAAAAGAGCCAAATTTAACATTACAATTATAGTATTTTTTTTCTTTATATAATTCCGGTCGGGATCGGTTTCATTTGGGAAAATTATTAAAAAAAAAAAAAGAGGTAAATTTGACTCCTTTTATTTCTTTCAATATACCTGTTCCCACTGATTTTATTGAGTGATTCAAAAGTTTGTACTTTGTATTCATAATAACATAAGAAAAAAAAATCTGTCCTTGTAATGTATTGGGTTTTATAACGTAATGAAAATTGGATACTGAATTCAAAAAGTTACTTGCTTAACTCAAATTTGGACCATATAATTTTTTCTAAAGAAGTATAAATTGGAGTCTTATTCATTAATAAAATAAAAGATAAGAGTCTATGCTATAAATAATATTCATCGACACATCCAGCTTTTGAGTATCTGTTACATATAAAACAAAATAAAAACGTAGTAATTTTTTTTACCCTTATGTTGACCTTTTTGCACTTAAAATTAAGCATTTACCAAAAATAGGACTAGAGGAGCACTAAAATTTTTTTAATGTTGTCATGTGTAAACACTTGCTTTAATAAGTCTACATGCAAAAAATAATTAAAATCCATGACATGCGATGTGCCACCCATTGCCTGGTTTTTCGGTGGACTGCCTCTTAATAGATACATTAATGAATATACATGTAGTATGACTAAAGATACCAAAAAGGTTAATATATTATATAATCAATTATTCAATTAAGAGGCAAAAAGTTTAAGTTGTATTAGTTTTCATTTGATATTTTGTGAATGCAATGAGGCAATTTTTTTTATTTGTAACGTACTTGGACAAGGATTGGTGTTGCAGGTTTGGCTGGAGTCGGTACTTCCGGGACAAGCAGCTCCGCCATATTGAGGTGCAGGGTTTGTGCACGTTCTCTTTCGTCCCTGTCTTCCTCCGCCGCACGTTACCGAGCACGTGTCCCATTGTCCCCAAGATGCCCAGACTCCATCAACTTTAATAAATAGAAAGTGCAATTGCAACTTATATTTAAATATTTTTCTCCAACGAAATAAGACTAGGTGAAATGTTGCTTACTTGGACAGTTATGCGTGTTGCACCTCTGTGTTGATGAGGAAAAGTCCCTGCAATTGGCTCCGCCATATTGTGGTGCAGGATTAGTACATGTGCGGCTTCTTGTTTGTATACCGCCACCACACGTTTCAGTGCACGTGCCCCAATTGCCCCATCCCGCCCATTCTCCATCAACTGGAAGCAATTAAATATCTGTATATGTCTGTATCTTAAAAAATTACGATGTAGAATGTATATCAAACAAAAGTATACATGTAGTTTCCCAAGTAATTTCCAAATAAAATGTCTCAACACTACAGATACTCAAAATGATAAGTACATTAATTTTAAGTTTTTATCATCTATGTAATGTTAGTTCATTTAACAACATATCAAAGTTTGCAAAGTGCCAGGTCTCCAACCTCAAATTATTTTATGAAATGGGTCACTGAAGCAAAATTCTCAAACTCACTGGGGCAGTGATGTGTGTTGCAGGTTGTTCGGCTGTCTTTGGACCCAGGACAGTCTGCACCTAGATACTGAGGCCTAGGGTTGGTGCATGTTCTCGACCTGTCTTTGGTGCCACCACCGCACGTGACAGTACAAGTGGTCCAGGCTGCCCAGGCCGCCCAACCGCCGTCAACTAAACATAAAAGAGATGTACACATTGTAAAACATCAAATGAAAACTGAGACGCTCATGGGTTGCAATATAAAACAGGTCTTAAATTTAATGTTAAAAAAGTACATGTATTGATATTTATCAACATGAAATGAAAAAAATAATGTTTGGGCAAAATAAAAAATATTTCGATAATAATAATTAAAAAAAAAATCACATTGTCTGTTCCAATAACTATACAAATTCGTAGTGAAAACATCATTTTTGGGGTAAAAAAAACCTCAGAAAAACGCCGAGATCAGAACTTACTTGGACAATGATGCGTGTTACAGTCTGTTCTGCTAGAACCCGATCCGGCACAATCTCTGCCAAGGTACTTTGGGGCGGGGTTAGTACACGTCCTTGATCTGTCCTTCTTACCGCCCCCACAAGTCACCGTACAGGATCCCCATCTACCCCAAGCCGCCCAGTTTCCATGAACTAAATGTATATTTTCTCATTAAATCACCAATTACCTTCATATAACGTTCAGCACCGTTGTGAAGGGGGGGGGGGGGGGTGGTCGTGCCCCCATAAATTTGATACATATGTAAGACTCCAAAGTCCCATGGTGACGCCAAAGTCTGATTATCTGGTGTTGATATCGACGGCAATGTCAGATGGTCAAGCTTAAGTCCGATTGTTCGTTTCCTATGAAACAAGCTGCGCTAAAGTGCGATGGTCTGATAAACCAAAGTCCGATAGTGCGGAGAAACAAACAATCAACTTTTGTGAGGTACGTCACAATATTCCGACATCAAACTTTGACGCCTTTGTCAAGCATTCAAAAGCCAACAATTTAGGATTAAGTTTTCGCATACAATTTGGTTAGTGCTTGCACCCACCTGAGATATTAGGTAATGTCCTTGCACACACTTGACTGTAGTGTCTGATTTTACTTGCACCCTACTGCACTGCTTATGGGATAGCAACGCACCCAACCGAGAGATTTTTGGGTTAGTCCTTTTACATTGAATAGGGTTAGTCTCGCACCCACCAAAGAGATTTTGGGTAGGTCCTTGAAAACTATTTGACTGATCAGGGTTAGTCTTGCTCCCATCCATGCAAAATATCTACTAGGTCAGTTGTTCCACACTTTTCGACTTAATAGAATTCAACTTGTAACCCCTCCCCCCTTTCCCCCCGAGGGGTTTGGGTTAACCTCGCACCCACTTGAGAAATTAGGGTTAGTGTATTTTAATAAGAAATACAATCTACAATCTAATCATACGTATTTATCTAAAATCATTAGACTTTCCAGTGGCACGACTTTGCACTTTGGAACATTGATACCGAACATCGGACTCTAGCATGTCACGCCATCGGACTTTGGCGACTGCATGTGAGCCATTGGGGTTTTGCGTAGACAATCGGACTTTGGTGTGACCATCGGGCTTTGGTGTCCCAGCGCACTTTGGAGTCCTACATATATACTATGCAACAGAAAGCTAATTTACGGATCGGACATTTCTTCCTACGGCCCTGTTCATCATAATAAAATTGTTTTGACATCTCGTTTTCCTTTCCTCAAAGTAAATAAACCTTATGGATCATATTAGATTAAAAAAAAATCACCTTTACATACAAATTATCATCAAGAAGTGATAGAATTAGGTAGTAATCAACTTTAACTTCATGAGAAAAATGTATTAGAGAGAAAATTTAATGCTCTTTATCAAGTTAATTTTTGAAATACAGAGCCATAAACAATCTTAACTATAAGAGAAAACACTGTATGCTTAAAAATCAGAATCATCTTACTTGGGCAATTGTGTGTGTTACAAGAAGTACTACTGCTGCTGGACCCAGGACAATTATTTCCGCCGTACTGTGGGGCAGGGTTATTACACTGTCTGCTTCTGGTCTTCGTTCCTCCGGCACATGATTTGGTACAGGAACCATAACTTCCCCACCTACCCCAACCTCCATGGACTATAAAGCGATTTTTGAGAAAACAAAATTATTTCTTTTTCTGTCGCCTGCATAGCATTATAGAGTATAGACATACCAATAGGTGTCTAATTTGTTTTCTGTCTATCAATCCTGCCGTCCTGCTTGCGTAGTATATGTCATATTGTAAATCCTGAATTAACCGACTGGAAGTCAAAAGAAACTTTGTATTTATTGACAAAGGTTTGTTTTGTTTGTTTGTTGTTTAACGTCCATCTCGAGAATGTTTCACTCGTATGGAGACGCCACCACTTGCCGGTGGAAGGCTGCAAATTTATTCCTATACTCGGAACTTAGGACCATTGAGCAGTGAGGGATCTTTTTCGTGCCAACACCTACTGCAACATGGGACCTCGGTTTATACGGTCTCATCCGAAGGACCGGTCTCCATGTCCTGCAGTGGATTCGAACCCACGATGTTAGGATCAACTCCTTTCTCCGTGACTTTAGAGTAAACGCTCTTACCACTGCGTCACGCAGGCGACTATTGGCAAAGGTAATTTCAAAATTTACAATATGACAGTAATCTCCTGCAAACGACAAAGGTATCCCTCGAATATACTCGTTTGTTTCGATTTCCTTTTTCACAATATACTGTATGTTTAATGTACACTGATTTCATGCAAATTCGATCAGAACTTTTGCTAATTGTAGGAACACTTTAAAGTGAAGAACAATCCCCCCCCCCCAAAAGTTTTCGCTCTAATCAATTTTTAAACTTCTCAAATATGTACGTAATACTGCATGTGGTAGGCTAAGTACAATTACTTAATATTACACAATACAGTTTACACGGGTGATATCAAGAAATAATAAAAGAAAAATCTTTCTCATTTATAGTATCTCAGAAAACATTTAATATATGAAAAATCAGATTTTTCTTACTTGGGCAATTGTGTGTGTTACAAGAAGTGCTACTGGTGCTGGATCCAGGACAATTATTTCCGCCGTACCGTGGGGCAGGGTTATTACACTGTCTGCTTCTCGTCTTCGTTCCTCCGGCACATGATCTGGTACAGGAACCATAACTTCCCCACCTACCCCAACCTCCATGGACTAAAAAGAAATATTCAAATAAAAATTATCTGTCACCGGCATTGGAATTAATTTGTTCGTTTTTTGTCCTTCCAGGCATACGCATACCCAACAAATTTCACTCTTTTTTATTTCAAGGACAAATTTTCCTTTTCACTAGAAACATGTAGTTTACATGGATTTTTTTTTCGAATGTAGGAATACTTAAAAAGGAAATATTTTTTTTCGGAATATTTGTTCTACAAAGTGAAAACAATTACTCCCAAACGAAGTTTGAGGAGGGCCAGCGTATAATCATCAGGTTTGATGGAACGCTGTATTATGTAGATGTAGATGTAGATGTAGAAGTGATATTACATGTGACAACACAAATAAAATGTCTTAATGCTACATGCAAGTTCAATCCTACACTAGGTATCCAATTCCTTTTCAGTTGTCATGTTGTAAATTTTGTATTTACTACAACCTGGTAAATTCAAAATTTACAACATGACAACGTGTTCTGCGTAAACTTACATGGTACAGCGATAAATTTTGCTTGTGTTAATAGCTTATAGGGCGTTTACATATGGTCAAAATGTATATTTTGATTGTACGTTACCTGTAAGACAGAAAAGGGGTACATACAAATTATAACAATTGAACAACTAACATTGGTATGCAACTCGGCCGATAACAAAGTTAGTGAGTAAATTAGTAAGTACATGTAAAGTAAGTAAGTACTAAGTAGATAAGAATTTAACCTTCATTGTACATATAAGAAAAAGAAAATTCAACTAGAGCAGAGCTCGTTGCAAAGCAACGAGTAGGTCTTCCGTTGGAGCTGCGAACAGGAAGAAGTGACCTTGAGTCAAGGTCATGCCACATTCTAAGGTTATAAGCAATCTTGTAAGGGGTATCAACTTGCAATGTCTCACCAGTAGAAAGACAGTTAAGGAATGTTGTTTCTCCGTTGATGACCTTGAACTCGTTCAAATGACCTTGCATCAAACCATGACACACTCTGGTTATAAGCAAACCCCATCTTTGTGTTACCGACTCGACAAGTTAACACATGTTCTTTCAGACCATTCATCCAGTCAAAACATTCTTTCCTTAGTGACCCTAAATTTAATCAACATGGCCGTAGGAACCGAGGGAGGGGGGGGGGGCGTGCCCCCAATAATTTTGCCGATATATAGATTACTATAGTAGACATAGATACTATAGCTTGTGCCACCTCGATAGAAACGTCTGATAACCTTCTTTTTTTTGCTTGTCAAGGAATTTTTGGTAGTTGGTGACCTTTTTTTTGCTTGTCAGGAAATTTATGGTAGTAGTGCCCCCTCAACTGTCAACTGAAAATGTATGGCTGTGCCCCCCCCCCCCAAAAAAAAAAACCTCTGAATTTGCTTCCTATGGGCCTGATCAAGGCAATGATACACTCTGTATGATATCAGCGATACCCTTTTGTGTGTTTCGCAGTTGACAAGTTCACAGTTTGCATTTATTGCATGATAGTGAGGGAGACATGAAGATTTCTTCGCCCATAAAAAATCATATTCCCCGAGGGCAACTTGAAGATTTCTTCGCCCATGAAAAATCATACTCCCCGAAGGCAACGCCCGAGAGAAATATGATTTTTCATTTGCGAAGAAATCTTTATGTCTCCCTCACTATTATGCAATAAATTGTTTATAATACCGAATTAACCAAAATGCAGGAATTACAAAGGAGATCCAATGAATAAAGCAAACATGCATTTGATGAGAACGATATGAAAGAGATGTAAGTTACAGGTACACCAATAGCCTCGTTTCATTAAAAAAAAAATCCTACGTGACAAGTTTGTGTGATCACACCAGTAACATTCAAACACCATTACATTTTTACACATTTAAATCGACACAATCAATCAACGATAATATGCTGACGGTGCGACCGTTGGGCGAGTGCATTGTTCACTTAATTTTAAGATCCACCTCTTCAAACAGCACGAGACATTTGGAACGTCTAGACTGTGACGTCTCATGACGTACAGTCCCTGAAACGTTCTACTTTCCCATTTTTCCGTTCGCTCACCGTTCGTTCACCGTTCGTTCAGCGTGCGTTCACCGTTCGTTCACCGTGCGTTCACCGTTCGCTCTCCGTTCACTGTTTTGCGTTCACCGTTCACCGTGCGCTCGCGTTCACCGTTCACAAAGCGTTCAGCGTTCGCTCTTCGTTCCGTTCACTTTGCGTTCACCTTGCGTTCACCGTTCACCTATCGTTCAGTTTTCATTGTCATTCGGAACTCCGAAGTGAAAGGACTTATCTTTTTGTAGTTAAGGAGTTACAGGTTTTTTTAATTTATTAACTAACATATCGTATTTGAAGAATAATTATTTCATGAGGAAAAATATCTACGATGTATATTTTTATTATTCTAACTTAGCTGTTAGGTTATTTATTAAATTACTCTGGAAAATAAATGTTGTTACAAACACATCCTGTACCTATGTAGAACGATGCTGAAATATTAAATTTAACTAAGGGCAATGTGCAAATACTTCAAGCACTGCAACATTTTGTTGTTTTGTTAAAGACGACAAATCGTTAATGGAGATATAATTATTCAAGTCAAATAATTACGCAGCAAAATTACGAAAATATTTATTTCTAATACGTTTTTTTTCAATTACTACAGAAAATATAATAGAACTAGTTCTGAGAGTTATACATAGTACTGCGGATATCCTGTCAATTTATTATCTTTAGAACGAATTAAATTGATAGTGTGGTTAAAGGAAATATTTATTTAAAATGTAATGCACTACAGAATTTCTCTACTGTAATATGTAAAGTCTATAGTTATAGAGAAAAAAAAATCTTTCTTCACCGTAACTTTATATGTTTGCCATTCGATATGATTAATACCCCCCCCTTTCCCCCTAAATCGGTGACTTAGTCAGTACCGTATTTTCAGAATATTTTAATTAACATTAAAAAAAAAGCTACGGTCTTTTTTAGAACAAAAATTTCAGTCTCAAAACAAACATGCATCTTAAAAAAGTCACAAAACAATAGTAGATCAAAATGTACACGTGTCGGCGGTGGTATTTGAAATTGGCAGAGAGTATGTTTCACATTCAAGTGTTAATGCCCAATGTATTTACTAATTTATTATTCAAATGTTGGAATCAAATCTAGAAATGATAATAATAAATGTTATAACTTGTTGGAAATACTCGCACTTCGTCTTCGATGTGACGAAACTTTCACACCTGCACACCTGCACAGTGTCGAATGATTTTGATTGACAGGACAAGCACGTGGAGTTCGTGTGAACTTGAAGCAGGAAAATAAAAAGGAGTATGACTGTCAAACAAATGGATATGATTTGTTGATAAAAAAAAAAAGTTACTTTCACTGTCTGATATATTTAGAAAAAAAATTTCAGAGTTTTTGTTTGATATAGGTACAAACATTTGGTGAAGCCTGAAAGGAGGGGGGGGGGGCTAAAACTGAATATTACTCTCTCTCTCTCTCTCTCTCTTTCATTTGTCTGTTTAATAAAAACTATAACACCATATTACTTAACTATCAAGTTCTGAAAATTGAATGTATAACAATAATATGAATATGTATCTTTGTATCATCTTGTCCGAGTATAATCACGGCCATCTAGAGATACATGTAGACGTCTGCTCAATAAATCATAATGAATAATAGAAATGACACATAATATATTATTGTATTAAAAGTTTAAAATATGAGCGTATAAATGTAATTATTTTTTTTTTTCATAACTTTACACTAAATCGCCTTGACACGGAGATATTTATATATGAATATAAGTTACAACGGCTTTAATTCATTCTATAAATCATAAGTTTTCTCTGATTTGTTATCATATAAGAATAAACATTTTTATTTTCCAAATAAAAACAATATCTTTTATACTTCAGCGTTCGGCAACAATTGCAATG